CCAGAATTCCCCAACCATTCTGGGAGTTGAAGTCCACTCATCTTAAAGTGGCCAAGTTTGGACAACACTGCTGTAAAGATTGCCCATAGCCTCCCCAAAGACACAAAGTCTGGAAGACTTTCAGCATGAGTCAAGAGTGCTCCAGTGTGGCGGCTTCAGCACACCTACAGATTCCCACAGCCTTTGCCAAAGCTGCCAAGCCTGCAGCATTTTGGGGCCAGAAATACAGGAAAATATTTCTCTCTGCCTATTCCCACAGCATGAGTTCTGTGGAGGAAAGCTGAAAAGGCCTATAAAAAATCTGCAACTCAGAAAGTTGCTGCCATAATTGGACTAACTATCTGACTCTAATATGCTTAACCCATTTTTTCAATTATTCTCTGAGACATGAAGTGCTCATAACTTAAAGAAGGCAAAACCTAAGCAGGAATTCATGAGGACAAATACTTCTCAGGAAGTAATGTGGCTTTGTCCCAAATCTCAGGCAGAAAGAGGATAAAATTATGCATTTGTCCAATGAGAAGTAAGGTCAGATTACAAACTGACTCCTCACAAAAGCCTTTTAAGTTTAATTATTAGTTCACAACAACATTAGCTTTCATTGAATTGGCACACAGTTGACAACTGCTGCTTAAGTGATAATTTGTCCAGTGCAACAGTTCTTCAAATATCCCTGTCAGATTCAGTAGATACTAGTTGCAGGATATTTAAGCAATTGAGAGATATTTTGAGAATATTCAAATTAATTAATTAGTTTTCTATCCTCCCTTTTTGCCCAGAAGATATTCAACTCTTGACTAGAGCACATCCCATAGCTTGGGACTCACACAAGAATGTCTAAGTCCTAGATATCAAAACATGGAACATTTTTAAACATTTGACCCACTGGTAAATATGGTTTCAGAACCTTACCAAGAAATTGCTGCCTGTCTGCCCGCCGTTTCAGTGTCAACTTTACTAGATCATCAGGGACATTTGGCAGACTAGCCACTTCACCATAGGTATTGATAGATCGCTGTAATATTTCATTGCTTCTCATTTTCTCAGCCAAGTCATCCTCGCTCTGTATGTGATAATAAAGTATTAATTAGTACTGAAATTGCTATCAAACTTAAAGCACAGGTTAATCAATCAGTGGCTGTTTGATTATAACATTTATTTCAAAATCACCACTACATGAGTTCAAAAATTTTGATTTCTAAAAACTGAATATGGCAGATACATAATTCTTAACTACAAAAATGCACAATGAGTTGTTAAATCTGTAACACTGGTATGCCATCAAAAACTAAAAAGTTATTTTTGAAGTTTGTAAGCCATCTCTATATCCAGATATAACAGTTGCTTCAAAAAATCAGTACATTTTCAATGCAGATCTTTCTTTAGCTGCTTATTTGCTGAGATGCCTGTAAAGTGACTCTGAACTTAAGATGATCTTGTCCCCCTGCCTCCACCACAGCAAAAGGAAAATAAGACTGAAAAAATCTATGACCTCTGTTACTGTATTCTAAGTGAATCTAAGATGACCCTCACACTTTAATAGCAGGTAAATTCACAATGAATTCTGCATGGTATCACGTCTGTATTTTAGTGATAGTGGAATAGTGTTACTGAGTTTTATTAAAAACTTGTTTTAAGGGTTTATAACCTGTTCTTTTGTGGGTTTTTTAGACAGATGTCATTAAAGAAGTTACCCAGTACACATCTTGCATTTTCATCAGGTAATTTCAGGCTGCAGGATTAGGGAGTGTGCCCTCATTTTAGGATTGTATCACCTGGGTGTGATAGAACAGGGAATGCCATGTCTTAATCCCTTGTAATGTGAGAAGCTCAAAGGCATTCAGAAGAGGAAAGGCATGAGGTATCTAGCCGCTTCTACCCATGTAAGAAAGTGCTATATTATGTCACCTGTTCCCTTCTTTCAGAAGGGGCCAGTTGCTGATGAGGCAAGAACAAAGTGGTCCTGCTTTTAAGAATTATGCAGTTAACCATTCACAGTTTTCATGGCGCAAGGGAAAATCCTAACCCTATCTGCATTATATAAAGGATTCTTTTTTTTTTTTCCCCCTCAAAATCACCTAAGTAACTTGGGCCCTTGGTATATGCAAATTATACTCAGTGGCCCCTTGCCACTTAAGTTATGTGAGCCACTCGTATGTCTCTCTCTTTCTGCCATCTTTGGGAGAAATTTAAATTTAAAATGAGTATTTTGCACTTAATTCCATTCACTCAGAGCTACATAAGCAGTCAAAGATAAAACTCATTCTGAGCCCAAATTACTACCTGATCCCGGTTTAGCCAGTGTTATTGTGGCAAGTTCAAATGATAGTTCCAGTGCCATGAAAGAAAAAAAATCTTAATTTCTATTATTTAGCAATTTAATCTTTGGAGTCCTTGGTGCTCTCTGAGCTTGGTTGTTGATTGCAAATGTTTCATTACCCTACTAGGTAATATGATCAGTGCTAGTGGGTGTGGGATTTACTCCCTGTTTATACAGATTAGCTTGCCCTTCCAGTGTTGGTGGGGGTGTAGTTTTCTCCTTGGTAGTTCCTCTTAAGTAAACCAAAAGACCCAGTAGGCCATGAAGAAAAAACAGAAGTCATCTACAAGATACAGTGTAAAGACTGTAACAGCCACTATGTAGGACAGACAGGCAGAAGACAAGCAGAGCACATCCATGAACACCAACTAGCAGTCAGAAGACACGATGAAAACTCCTTAACCTCACAACACATGGACAGATTTAACCATAGTTTCAACTGGGAAACTGTGAACATCCTAGACCAAGCTAAATCCAAAAACGCTAGGGAAATCCTGGAAGCTTGGCACTCAGACACATCAGTCATCAATAGACACACAGAGATAAACCACATTTACACACCATTCAAAAGAGACTAAGAAAGCTAAGAAGGAAACAAAAAGACCAGAACACATCCTTTCCAACAGCCTACAGGCAGATAACCAGGGATTGATACCAAACAAACAATCAAGCAGAAAACAACACCTTAATCAAACAACTACCAAGGAGAAGACCACATGCCCACCAACACTGGCACTATATATAAACAGGGAGCAAACCCCAACCCAGTAACACTGATGATATTACCTAGTTGGGTAATGAAATGTCTGCAATTGAACAACCAAGCTCAG